AGCTCTGAATACATGGTTTAAATACATTTTCAAGCAATCAGCAAAACAATTAAAACACCCGCAATTATCATTGTTCTTCGGACATTACATAACATTTTAGCTTTCTCAGCAACATTTTTCCCGATTTAGAATTCCCCCTTGGAAGGGCATTTCCCTAGTAAAAATACCCTTTCAATATGTCCTTAACTAAAACAATTAATTGGAACAGGGTATCTTACTTCCTTCTTCTAATTTAGCTTGGGTCAGCCTGACCCAACTCAGAATGTACTAATTTAAATTTATGGCATTATTTCCTCAGAAAAGGTGTCATACATACTTCCCCTTTCTAAGTGTCTTACACAGCTAAATAGCTTAGGGCTAGTTAGGTCATACGAAGGGTAAATATGGAGTCACTTAGGCTATATTCTTTACAGGAATAATTCTGTTTCTCTCAGCATTCCATATTAAAAGGCAGTTCTTTCTTATACTCAGAATAGAAGCTGTCTAGTACATCTATGGAAACATATTTTTAAAAAGTACATGAGATCCAGAGTTGCCATTTATTGCAAAGAGGAATACTTAATTAATTAGTTTCTTTATTTTCTCATTTGATTCATTTCCTACTTTCATAGGAAGTAGGATGAATTCCATCCCATAGAAAGGGATTATGCAAAGCCTTTTCTTTTCCCTAATAAAAAGACAGTAGATAACACTCTATAGCAGTTTTTTGTGATGGTGATCTCAAAAAAGCCTACAAATGCTTGATTAAAGCAATATTTAAGACCCAGTGAGTAAATCAATCGATTGATTGATCGATCATTGGTTGGAGACCCCAAAAAATGCTTTTTTTTTCCCTTTTGTGTGTTTATTACATTTTAATGCCATTCTTCCCATGAGCTGAAGCAGGTCACAGAATGCTCTCCCATAGCTTTCAATCTCTGAAAGAGGACATTTTGACTGAGTGATGATGATTCATTCAGTACAATCCCCAGATATAGAGATATGGAGATAATGAATACGTAAAGAGTCCACAATATATAACGAATGTTCTGCTCAGTGTCCTAGGCCAGTGATGGTGAACCTTTTTGGCACCGAGTGCCAAAAAGGTCATGTGGAAATGTCGTGCATGTGCGTGCACTTATCAGGGCTACACTCCAGAAAAGCGGAACTTCCAGGTTCTAGCATGCATGCATGCACGATGATCAGCTGGCTGGCGCACATGCGCAGACAGGTTTTCTGCCCTGCCGCATGGGTGAACAGATTGTGCTCCAGAAAAGCTGAACTTCTGGGTTCTGGCATGCATGTGCACCCGACAATCAGCTGGCCAGCATGAATGCACACACCAATTTTCGACACTGCTGCACACGCAAAGGACAGCTAATCGTCACACACACATGGGTGCCAGAAACTCAGAAGACAAACAGGCAAGGCCGCACGTGCCGGGCAGTGGTGGGTTGCTCCCGATTCTCACCGGTTCGCAAGAACTGGTAGTAAAAATTTGCAGTAGTTCAGAGAACCAGTAATAACATTGGCTGGCCACGCCCCCAAACCGGTCCCCGGCAAGATCGCCACTCACTTACCCCACCCATCTCATCAGAGGCTTTTTTTTTTTACTTTTAAAAGCATTTTTTCTACAACCTCTTCGACCAAAGAGGTTGCAGGAAAAAAAAATGCCTATAAAAGCCTCTGACGATCCCAGCTGACTTGCCTGATTATCAGAGGCTTTTAAAAGCATTTTTTTCTGCAACCTCTTAAGGTTGTAGAAATAATGCTTTTAAAAGTTAAAAAAAAGTTGGCCATGCCCACCCAGTCACATTACCCCCCACCACCAAGCCATGCCCACAAAATAAGCCACGCCCACAGAACCAGTAGTAAAAAAAATTAGAACCCACCCCTGGTGCCGGGCAACATGGCTTCGCATGCCATTTTGGGCACACATGCCATAGGTTCGCCATCATGGTCCTAGGCTCTTCCATATTCCAACGCTTCATTTCCTAACACCAGGGGTGAGATGGCTCAGCTGTTAAACTGTGCTAAGCTTGTCAGCTGGAAAGCTGACAGCTCAGGTTTGAGACCTGAGCTCTGTACAATGTGGTGAGCTCCCATTACTTGGCTCTGCTCCTGACCATCCAGCTGTTTGAAAGCATGCAAATGTAAGTAGGTACCACTTTGGTGAGAAGGTAACAGCATTCTGTGTGTCTTAGCCATGCTGGCCACATGACCATGGAAATTGTCTCCAGACAATGGTAGCTCCCTCAGCTAAGAAAAGGATATAAGCACTGTGCCCTAGATTCGGACACAAGTGACAGGAAAACTTTTACCTTTACATTTCCTAACAGAAAAATAAATGAAGATGGTTAAAATTATAGAGTGGTACGCGAGCTTTACATCTTTTGAACACATGTAGGACAGAATTTGTATCACAATGCTTTGTCCACCATCTTGCCAATTTGGACACACACACACACCCCACCAAAACCACTAAGGGATACAGTATGGTGTGTGCACATACATGTGTGGTATTGTAGTAGCAGCAACAATGGCCATACATAAACTCGCTTTCACAGATCTCTTCATTAGGTGGAACAGCAGAAAAGCTGAAAGTTGTAGATCAAGCGAGAAAGCAAATTAGGTTACACGGGAATGCTAAAAAATTTGCCAAGCTGATAACGGTCTATTTGCATGGCTGAAGACATTTGCATTGCTGATAGTCTATTTGCAAAGCTGGTTACAAGTATCTGAAAACATTTTGCAATTTACTCAAGTATTCACTGGAGGGTTACAGACAGTTGGGTTTACTGGGAATAAATGGTAACAAAAAAGGAAAAGTTAACCCTTGAATAGCAATTCAGCCTCTTGCAGATACAGGATTGGCACTGTTTTGCAAAGAAATCAGTCATAATTAAAAGTAAGATATATTCTGAAAAAACCCACTTTGATCATTCTTCCTACCTAATGGGGATTATAATTGCCATCTTATCCTAAAAGTCAAAAGTGTAATGCAAGGCCCATAACTGATCAATAGAATATATTCTTTGCATACAAATTATGTTCAGTAAATCCTTTTCAGGAATTTCTACCTAGTAAATACCCTGGGGGCAGATGTTGTTTCCAGGTGCACATTTAAGTCACTAACTTTCTAAAGCAAGGCCCGAGGGCCAGATTCAGCCTGTGAGCTGCTTAGATCTGGCCTGCAGGGCTTCCCTGGAAATGAAGGACTGGCCGTGATGACTCTGACAGCAAAAACGGAGCTCAGGAGGGCTGCAGGTGGCCTTCCCAAATCGATTTATGCTGGCAGAGGGTTGTAGGAGGCCGTCACAGCCGAAAATGGAGCTCGGGAGCCTGTTTTCTCTGGCAAACCGCTTGGGCCATCACAGGCACCCCTGCGACGAGTGATGTCGAGTTGGCCACACCTACCCTGACCATGCCCACTCTGGCCATCCAAGGTCAAACACAACCCTAATGCGGCCCTCATTGAAATCAAGTTTGACACCCCTGTTCTAAAGGAACCCAAGAAAATAACTATCTTCTTATCTGCCTACATTACCTTCTGTGTTTCCTTCTGTTCTCCCTGCACCATTGTCATATTTCAATATTTCCATAAAAATAATATAATTCTTAGCCTGCTGCTCTTAGTTTTCCCAAACAGATTTGGGGGAAATTATGCTTGGTCATTTGCAGGTGATGCTGCTCATGTCTTCACAGATAACATTTTTTGTCCCATCTCAGTTTTTTCTCTTTCATTCTCTTGCCATGTGATCTCATTAAAAAAATTTCTAAGAATTCAGTCCAATGTTAAAAGCCCATTCCAATTTTAAATTCTGCCTTTATATCCACCTCCCACCCACTCTCATCAACCCTTAAGTTGTTTCATAAAAATTGTTACAGAAGATATATTCAAAACTCTTTCTCAAATAGATAAGACAGGCATCAAGGCTGTAACAAGGATAAAATACGGTTTCCAAGGCTTAATTACCATTATTTTTGGGAAAGTGAGTCTTTTAATAAGCAAACATTGGGTTGAAGCAAGATAAAAATAGAAAACGTGTATGTGAGTGCACGCGCATGTAGTTTTAAAGCAGCACGTCTCCTGAGATTAATTCTTTTTAATAGTTATTTAATTACTTGGGTTTTACTTAGGCTGCAGCATCCTTCACCTAGTTTACAAGAATAACACAAAGCAATTGTTTGCTGAAGGAGATTATGAGCAAATTACTTTCAACCATTTATAGCTTAATACTTAAGGGCATCTAAACATACTATGCTTTTTCTAACCAGACTTTGTGAAATGTTTAAATATAAAGCTCCTGCCTATGTATGCAACAACTGCTGCACTGATGTGTATCTCAAATTTTATTCTCACAAAAACAACTGAGTGAAGTAGCTTGATCTAAAGAAAATGGTTTATTCCCTAGCTATGACTTTGAACCTTGGCCTCTTAGTTCTACAGCATCTCATATCTCCCTGGACTGGCAAATTCCACTTGAGTGGATATTCTCAAGGATATCTGGGTCTTCAGTCATATTGCAAAGCAAAGGGGCACAGCCCTGATAACTGTTCCCATTTTATAAAGAAATGCATGTTCAGTAGTTAAACTAGAGATTTATGCATTAAAATATACATGATTCTTAAAGAAAAGACACTCTAAAACTCACTTTTTATTAGTTGTTGCAAACCCAAGGAAATGAAAACTCACAGTATATAGGATGTATGTTTCTATCATAAAAAAGGAACAGCAGTGATAACAACAAAATAAAGTTCCCTGGAAGATTATTGTTCATCTGGGTTGCAGGACTATCTTTATTATTTCCTTATGGGATATATCATCTCTGGTTAATGATTTAAAAAGTAAACTTTCTCGTTGACTTGGATATAGGAGATCATACGTGTGATGAAAACAATGATTGCCGTTTATCCCCCGAGTAATCACCGATTTAGAACTATCTCTGGTGCTACATGAAAGCATGATCTCAAACCATTATGAACTTTTGATTGTGTGTGCTGGTTTTTTCCCCCCATAGGTATGGACATTCAGCAGGCTCAGGTTATTGTGCTCTCTTCAGGCACCAAATGCCTAAATGGAGAATACCTAAATGATCAAGGACTCGTTGTCAACGATTGCCATGCAGAAATTGTGGCTAGGAGAGCTTTCATTCACTTCCTTTATTCACAGTTGGAGCTGCACTTGAGGTAAGTTTCATTTAGATAATATTCAGGGAAAAAGGGATTATCCAAGGAGTCTAAAATGAATTTTAGAAAACAAAACTACATGTTGGAAAGAGTATGTCGTCTTTCTGAAAAGGAATGATCAGCCTAAAGACAAAGACACACCACTATCAAAATTGATAAAGTTGGATCAGGTTGCTTCATCCAGCGTTCTCTGCATCCAAAGAAACCAATATGGGCTTGTGAGAAATTCATCACCATATCATGGCAACAACATCTTTTTGCATGTTCTACAGCAACCGTACTTAGAAACATACTGGAATATTTGTGAATATTAATCCACATAAACTAGCTCCTGGGAAAAATATATGTGGTTGCTAAGAGTCATCAACTTGATGGCACATAATCATAACTAGCAACCCTTGACAGGCAGATATGATTCTAATCTTTTCTACATTTAAAGATATCTAGATTCATGCCTACAACTGCTACATTTTGTAGTAGCAAGTTCTACATCCATTGTTCTTCTTTCTTCTTCTGGTCATTGTTTCCAGTTCTCTCATGCTTACAAGAAATAAAAACCAGGAAAGAGCAGCAAAGGCTTGCCAGTTAACCAACCAGTTGGCCTGCTTACAATGTCAGTTGATATTCATAAAATAGCTTCGCTGGTCAGCAAGGTGAGACTTCGCCCAAATGTTATTGTATATGCAGTATGTTCTCAATGAGATTCAGCTGGTATTTGTGAGTATACAAATACCATGTAGGAAGATGCCCAACCATCATCCCCTGACGGACTTACCTTGCAGCTGCGTTTCAATTCTAGCAGTTGTAAAAGGACCAACATTACCTTTTTTGCCTCACCATCTCCAGTCCATGATGTAGATAAAATGGCTCTTGATTCATCAGTAAATATAAACAGGAGGATGGCATGAGAAATAACAGCATGAAATATATTTGATTCTTTAAGTGCTCTGATTTCACAGGCTAGCCATTCAGCTGTAGCCTTCGGTAGCCAATAAAATATTGATCATTATAAATACTACAAGTTCAGAAACCAATTATTCTAGCCTGCCAAGTTTTGACAATCCCTGAAACCTCAGGCAGGCAGCATAAAGAATTTCCTCAAGGCCCCAATCCACCACCATCATCCTTCTCGCATTTGTCTTGTAGTGGATTAATTTTAGCTTGATGTAACTACTTTGCATTGTTGGGTTCATAGTAGCAATCTATTAAATTCAGACAACAAGAACTATGGAATAAATTAGATGGAAATAAGAAAGTTCTAATGCAAATTTTTGAGTGGTCTTATAACTCACCATCACTGATTCGCTGTTTTGGATTATGTACAAAATGTACATAGTTACATATCTACTATTTATTTATTTATTTATTTATTTATGAAATTTCTATACCGCCCTACTCCCGGAGGACTCAGTGCGGTGAACAGCCAAGATAAAATACAGATAATACAAACATTAAAAGTTCATGAAAATTATTAAATATTTTGGCCGAAAACAAATTTAAAACACCCAATTTATAAAACAGATTAGAACAATTTAAAAATTTAAAAGGGAGAGTTAGGCCAGGCCAGCCTGCTGAAATAAAAATGTTTTGAGAACACGACGAAACGTGTGCAGATCCGGGATCCTCCGTATCTCCGGGGGGAGCTCGTTCCAGATGGTAGGTGCCCCCACAGAGAAGGCTGTCCCCCTGGGGGCCGCCAGTCGACACTGTTTGGCCGACGGCACCCTGAGAAGCGTCTCTCTATGGGAGCATACTGGTCGGTGAGAGGCTATTGGTAGCAGAAGGCACTCTGGTAAATACCCCGGTCCGATGCCATGGAGCACTCTAAAGGTGGTAACCAAAACCTTGAAGCACTTGAAGTAACTTTGAAGTTACTATGTAACTACTGTATGTAGAGCTATGTAATTATACATAGGCTGCCTAAAATTCTTTTGTGTTGGCCTGTTTTTCTTCAGCGGTAATTAGATATTCATAATAAAGTCATGTTTCATGAAGCCTCTTGGTTCTTTCTTGATTAATGCACTAATCAAGACCTGATAAAAACAGGGAATAGCTGAGAATGAAAAACTAACTACCTTCTCATTATGAGCATTTTCTTCCTTCGCTCTGGCTGAGTCATATTGTGAAAGCTATTTACAATGAATACACTTTCTTGTATTCAGCTTGTCATTAAGGCGGTTTTGGGCATAAAATTTCTCTCCACTGGCACATGAAACAGATAGCAGTCCTCCAGGTTCAATAGTGCATAATAATACTCCCCTCTGTCTGTGAAAAATTCACAGCATAAAACAGCAAATCGGAGCATTAATCTGGTCTAAATGTTTCTTGAGTGTTAATGCCTTATTGCAACCCAGTCTACCCTAACCTTGTATCGTTCATGTTATTTGACTTAGATATACTATCAGGAAGCAGAACATTAGCAGTTTTGTTCTTTTTTGAGATCATCAGACATTTGTGGCCAGATCTTTTTATGGAATTCATACTTTCTAATGGGAATTGTATTCGTGGAGAATTGCATTCTAGATGGGTATAACTTTAGGCCCTATCCAGGCCTTGGTGCTTAGCAATGTGACAGGAAAGGACGTATAAAATCTATCAAAATCACACAGAGTCTATCTTCCCTTAAAATCTCAGAGAAAGAGAGAGAGGTTTTATATTACATCATCAGAGATGGGATTCAGCTGGTTCTGTCCGGTTCAGGCGAACCTGTAGTGCGACTGTGGGAGGCTCCGCCCACCCACTCACACATAATATGAGAGCATTGTGCATACGCAGAAGGCTGTGTGCATGCACAGAGGAGACACGCGCTCACATTTGTGAACCGGTAGGGTAGGTAAGTGAATCCCACCTCTGTATGTCATATCTCCATGTATGCAGTTTTACATGTTATTCGATTGAATATTTAATCATGCCTCCATCTTCCTTCTGCGGATGAAGATTCTTGGAAATGTAGACCCAACCTTTCTGCTAGCTGAAACATCCGCTTTATTTTTCTCCTAATGAGGCCAGCAGAAAGCAACCTGTAGTAGACCATGTATTGCTGAATCACAAATTTATTTACCCCAGATTGGATGAAATTGCTGGGAATTGTAATTTGGCAACATTTGGAGCACCACATTTGCTTTTCCCCAAGATAGGTTTCAAGTTCATCAACAAGGACTGTCTAAAGCAGGGGTGTCAAACTCACGTTGTCATGGCAGCATCATGACTTTTACCCACTTCGCTAAACTGGGTGTGGCCACCATGTGACGCATCCGGCCCGTGGGCCGCAAGTTTCACAGCCCTGGTTTAAAACTAGACATGACTTCAGTTTTAGGATTGGTTGTATTTTGTTTATTATGTAAATAGAAGAATCAAAGTTCGGATTAGGGAAAGAATTTTCTTCATCCGTACAGCCCTAAACTTCTTTGAACAGTTGCTGCTGCTGATGGAATAAATTGCCTATTAGCATCAATGGAGGTTGCTCTTGAAATACAAAAGATTTTCAGAAATGGAATCGGTTGGTTGATTTCTTTGTTTCTTTTGGGAGGGCCATGACAGGGAAAAGAAAAATTAACTGAATTACATTAATACAATTAATGTCATAGCTGGTTTAGTTCTATGGGCGGGGGGAGACAATATGGGAAACTGAAGGGCTTCTGAACTGATAAGAAAAGATGCAACATGGTGTTAATGTATAAATGGTAAAGTTGCATCATATATTATGATATCATTACGTCTTCCTAAGATAATTATATCAAATAGATAAATCCGAGCTCATATATCATTCAACAAAATATTGTTTAGTAACTCGCCTGTGACTGTGTGGATTACTTATATGGAGAAGCATTTCAGATGCAACGAAGTAATAAAAAAGGTCTTTAATTTGCAGTAGCTATTTTATATATAGAAAGACAGGAAAATTATTTTGTTTGTTTGTTTGTTTGTTTAGCATAATTTACTTTCCAGACTACACTAAACCTAGCGATGTAAGATCAACATGGGATTCTTTTTATACTTTTATACTAAGAATATCCCAAAAGTGCTTTTTCAAGAGGCAGCTGGATTTTCTGATTTTTCTTTGAAAATGTTTTGCTTCTCGTCCAAGAATCTTCTTCAGCTCTGACTGGATGGTGGGGAATGGAAGGATTTATATTCCTGGCAGACAGCTGGATATTTGCATTATTTTAGAGAGTCATTGAGGCCACTTGGGGGTATCTGTGTCCTCAGGGTCACCTGAGCAAATGGGTGCGGAGCCTTCTTGGAACTGATGAAAGGACTGTGTTGTGTCTTCAAAGAAACACCAGAAAGTTCAGTTGCCTCTTGAAAAAACACCTTTGGGATAACCATGACCTGGATGACTGAGAATCTCTGTAGACACACTAAGCAATTTCCTGGATTGCTGGATGTTATATTTGTCAAATGATTAATAAATATATGTGAATTCATACGCAGTCTGATCTAATACTGTCATGAATTAGATGGTCACAATTCATAAATCACCATCATACTAGTTTTTTTGCCATGCTGATCCACTGAACAATGGCGCAATTTTGGACTATCATTCTCCTTCTAGGCTGAATTCTACAGAAAATCTCACATCCCCTGCAGCAAACATTATTATTATGTTTTATCTGATGCTTGACTCTCAACTACTATGGATTAGTCTAATTGTTTTGTTAGAGAAGTTCATTTATATAATGACTATACACTCTTTAAAATCTTGATATTAATAATGAGACCAAACCCTAGGACCTAGATGGGTCCTTTATTCAACCAACATTATTTTGTGTTTTATCAAACAAGCAAGAGTATCTATGAGAAGGCACAGCAGACAAATAACAATATTCATGTGATACTATCATAATGCAAATGCTGTAAATTACACATTTGTGTCAGATACCAAGACACAAGTTCATAATGGTAGCATAGGTGCAATAATGATATTATAAAGATGTCATCATTTTTGACATTATAGTTTGCTTGAAGAAAATATCCAAGTTGGATGCTAGAAAAGGTCTGCCTGGTTTTTTGGGTTGGGTTTGTTTTTTGTACATTGCTTCTATTGATTGTACTGGCCATCTTGACTTTAAGTAAACTGAGTGGTTCCCCCTGCAGGACAGTGTAAAGAAGACATAATTTTTTTCACATAAGATACAGTTCGATAAAAGCAACCCATGGAGAGTCAGCCAACCTAAGAAACAAAGGGTGATGAAATGAAATCAAATGAAAATGTCTTTAGGTGGTTACATTTGGTGTTGCTTTGGAGAAAGGGATTTTAAAACCAGATGGTTGTCTGATACCACTGGATATAAATACACTGGAAATTCACATGGCAATAAAAGAGGTGATAAGCATATCTCAAAAGTACAATGAGACAAAGCTGGAACAAAGCCAGTCTACATATCTGACTGTTATGCTTATATAACCTGTGAACCCCACTCAGCCCAGTCCTTCTCCGTTCCCATCTTTGGTTTATGTTAAATTATTTTCTTCATTTAGCAGTCCCTCTGCTTGCTTTGTGTTAAGCCTGGCATCCATGCCTCTAAGGATAAAACTGTAATCATTGTTTCTTTTGCTTCTGTATTGATCCAGTTTCATAGCACATTCAGTTATGTTATTATATTACTTGGATCAATGCTATGTTGTTTTGTGGTGGAATTCTCCCAACAGCAGAAAATTCTGCTCACAACAACTCGTCCAGATGACTCTCTCTGTTTAGCCAGGAGCCAAAGCTCTTCCTGTGCTGACCCAGATACAAGTATACACACAAACACACACACACATACAAATTGAGAAAGAGAACCATAATTCATCCTGAAATACAAAAGTCAAAGTATTGCAGAGTGAGAGATTAATCTTATTCACAATGCATTTATTCTAGAATTTGTCCAATGTACCTTATTCTTACCAGAAAAATAGTCTTCCAAGCAATTATTGTTGAAATGAGGAAAACATCTTACCATCTCCACATCTCATGACAAATTATCAATTACATGTCTGGAAAGAAGATGGAATAGAGAGAGAAATTGCATCTGTTCTTGTCTGGGATTCCTTCTCTTTCATTTTCTTGCCTCTGTGACATTTGGTCCTCCCCTTCCTCTTCCTGTCCCTTCCCACTCCTAGAATTCTAGGAGGTGATGGCAAAAAGCTGATTGGTAGAGCCACCCGCCATGCATTAGTTCATCTTCTATCTTAAATAAATATAATATTTAACATGACTATTGAAGAAAGGTTCAAAGTATCATTTTGGATAATATACCCAAGTGAAACCTTCTGCTTGGATCAGCATCTCATTCTTAGTTTCTAACATATTGGGCAGCAGGTCTCTGAACTGAGTTGAACTCTGGCATAAAAAGTTCCCCACCAAGTTGAAAGAGGCTTTTCCTCCATCGGGATTCCATTATATCCAAGCTAATAAACTGCTATCAGGAAACTTTCACTTTAACGTAACAATGAAAGGCAACCTTTGTATGCCATCCAAGTGAAAGCTACCTTTGTTCAGGTAGCCCTCAACTTACAATAGTTCATTTAATGACTGTTCAAAGTTACAATGGCATTGTAAAATCTGACTTATGACCATTTTTCACCATTATAACCTATGCAACATCCCCATAATCATGTTGTCAAGGTTCCGAGTAATGAACCCAAACAAACCAGAACTCTTGAGACTTGAATCCACCTCAAAGAACTTCTTTACTGAGTACATCATATTGGCATGAATTAAAGGAAAACCAACTCTAAATAATTCCCACGGTTTCAGTATAATTAAAAGAAGAAATAAACCCATCCCCAAGGGTCACAGGTCACGTTGGCCAATTAGGTCAGTTGACAGGCTCTCCAGGTACTCCTTCCCCGACCTTATCTGTTCCCCATGGAGATGGCCTTGGTTTCCATGAGTAAGTTCTTTGTTGTGTCTTCTCCCTTTCCCTCCTGTGTGGCAACTGAGGAACAGTAAAATGGCTTCTTCCAAGTTCAGTTTGAAGTGGACACATGTCATCAAAATTCAGATGCTTGGCAACTGGCTCATATTTATGGCCCTTGATGTGTCCCATGGTCATGTGATCAACTTTTGTGACCTTTTGACAAGCAAAGTCAATGGGAAAACCAGATTAATTTAACACCCTGGTTACTAACTTATCAACCACAGGGATTCACTTAACAACCGTAACAAAATAGTTTGTAAAATGGGGCAAAACTCACTTAACAAATGTTTCACTTAGCAACAGAAATTTCGGGGTCCATTGTGGTCGTAAGTCAAGGGCTACCTCTGCTTCCTTAGTTCAAAACGAGTATGCTTGCTTTAGATCCTGGAGAGGCAAGATCTTCAAGTGGTTTTCTGTTCTAAAGGTTTAGTGATAATGCAAATTAAGTTGATGGGAGGTTTTGGGAAGAACAGTAGGGAAATGGGGCAGCTGCATGCATCTACCTTCTCTCAAGGGCCTCAATGTTTTTGTCATGGGGGGACCATAAATTTCTTTCAACAGAAAATGCATCATAGCATAAAAACAAGCAAACCATGGAAGAGTGACAGTCCAATGGTTTTAACAGTATGCAGATTTTATGCACTTAGAACAAGGTGGTTGGTTTCAAGTCAAAGACAAGCTGGTCAAAAATGCAATGCAAGATGTTGCTGAGATTCTTGACTGGCCTTATGGAAGAAGAAAAATATTTTAGCTACTTTCAGAGCCAGCAAGAACAATAGCTATCCTATAGAAAATACTTATTTAGCAGGGGTGGGAGAAATTTACAAGAGAAAAAAAAGTAAAGATATGATTTAAGGAGAGAGTATAAGAATATATTTCTATACCGTTGTTTTGGGCTTTGTATAGTTCTACAAACAGCACATGGGAAACTTCAAGTCTCTAATTTGTTTTGACAAATAAACCATCATATTGTCTCAAAGATGCTTTTTCAAGAGGCAACTGGACTTTCTGGTTTTTCCTTTGAAGATGTTTCGCTTTTCATCCAAGAAGCTTTTTCAGGTCTGACTGGATAGTGGGAAATACCATCCAGGGAAGTTGATGCAGATTCTGGACCCAAAAGGAAGAAATAGAAAGGACTGGTGATTTTTTTTTAATGCAATTTTTAATTGATTTGAGAACATTTGTACAATGCTTTAGCCCATCATCTGTATCAAACATATACAGTATTCTCTTTTTTGTCAAACAATGTTTTTGTCCTGGTGTTCTGGATATCCTGCTCAGCTCCATTTAAGAACTGTGTTTGTAATACTTGTTTTATAAGCAGAATAAAAATGTTTATTCTTTTCATTTTGTTCATTTTGCATTATTTGTCTTTTAAAAGCCATATTATGACACAGAAGTGATTATGACTGTTTGAATTAATAATGACAAAATTTTCTGATATTTCTTATCATTTTTGTTTATTTGACTTGTTTATCGGTTTGATTGCTAAAGATTTGTAATCCCTGTGATATTGTGGAGTTCATTAAAAGCATCTGCTAGAGAGAACTTACATGAAATATCATAAAGAGAATATAACAAAGAGTCTGAAAGCTAACCCATAGGGAGAAAAGAATTAGTTCTGATTTGGAATGTAAAAAATAACCTGCAACCTTTCTTTGTGATCCTAGCAGACAACAAGAAGACAGCGAGCGATCAATCTTTGTGCGGTTAAAAGAGGGAAGCTACAGGCTAAAAGAGAACATTCTGTTCCATTTATACGTGAGCACATCACCTTGTGGAGATGCACGCCTCAATTCCCCCTATGAAATCACATCTGACTGTAAGACCTGCATTTCTCTAGTTTTGTTCTCCGTTTTTCTATCTTTATAGATACATGGATAGCTACTTCTGTCTTCTGTCAACATTTTTGTTCTGTAAGTAGGCATCACTTATAAAAATAATGCAACTTGACTTCTCTCAGTGGATTGGGGTAGACATAGACTTGATTCACCCCCATTGTTAACCTGTGGTTTGTTTACCATATTTACTTATATAAATAAGGATAAACCATAATAGATTGGCTTCACACATTGTATTAGTTGGCTTTCCCTTGATAAATTAAGCCAAAAGTCAAATAAACCACACTCTGTTTTAACACAGTATATGAACATAACATAAAATTAGTTGTGAAACTGGGAAACAGACTCTAGACAAGGAAATCTATTTTTCTACTTGCACCTTCAAGTTGGTTTCTCAGAATTGGAATGAACTACAGGTATGTTTAATCAACTAGGTCCTTAATTCAGATTCAAAAGTATGGTTTAAATTAAGTCTCAGTTCTTTTGTTAGAAGCATCTACATTACTATTATCCAGAATTAACACTAAACAAGATAGCTTAATGGTGAAACATTTTGTATTGAATTAGAACAAGTGGAAAACCCAAAAATCCAGGGTTTTTGCTACCATTACAGCAAATACCTTACTACTTAGGGTTAGTAAAGCTTGTGCAAATTCATACGGAAAACCACAATTTTTGTAGCCACTTGGATTTGATTAGTTAAATATTTTAAAAGTAATATTTTGGGCCCTCTAGGATATAGTTCACATCCTTGACCTTGTCCCAAAGTGAAACCAGGTTTTCTTCTTATTCCACTGAGTGAAGCCAGTTTTACCACGCAGATTTCACTAACAGCATTTAAAACTTACATTTGCATATTTTCCTTTGGCAAGCCATTTTCTTTGTAATTTGCTTTTATGAAGATATGCTTTACATTCATGAGTCCTCTGAATTGTCTGTGGCTAGTTAATGGAAGTTTTGCTTTCTTAGTTTAGAGCGGTTCCTTCCTTTTGTGAAGCAGTGATTTAAAGGCATTATCCAGTTAAATTAAGATATGTTAATGTACCACCTCAGTATTTCAATGACACATTTAAAATCCCTCCAGATAATCAAGGCTCCTCCCTAGACTTTTAGTCATGAGGTGAAATATATAGATGATATTGTTTCAAGAAACTAGGGCACAGGTTTCTGAGGGCCATTTCTTTTGAGAATTTACATAATGGACTTGAGAAAGTTTGATGTGTTGCATAAGTCTGTTCCCCCATTCACTTATTGGACTGAGCTCTACATTCTCCAAGAGAAGTGCAGAACCTTCATATGTTTTTATACAAAGTTAGCCATAAAGTTAACAGCAGAAATGAAACAAAAAGTAATATGAGTCAGTCCATGTGTTTGTGAGTTTGTCCCTGGGTTGTGAACAGTCTATCCATGTGTTGCAAGTCTCTTCATGTGTTGTGGACAATCAATCCATGTGTTGTGATTCTGTCCGTAGTGTTCTGGACATCGGTCCAGTCTATGTATTTTGGACAGTCTGACCATGTGTTGTAACTTCTTAATCTCAAAACACATGAACAGACTCAACCATAGTTTCAACTGGCAAATCCTAGACCAAGCTGAATTCAAAACCACTAAAGAATTTCTGGACATTTAGCATTGAGATGAATCAGCCATACAGAGGAACCACATTTACACACTATTCAAAAAAAACAAACAATAAGAAGCCAAGAAGGAAACAAAAAGACCAGAATGCATTCTCCAGCAACCAACACCCAGATAAGCAGGAATTAACACCAGGCAAACAATCAAGCAAGAAACAATACTTTAATCAATCAACAATCAACTACCAAGGAGGAAACCACACTCCCACAAACATTGGTAGGGCAAGCTACTGTGCTATATACAGTAGAAACAGAGAGTGAATTCCACACTCCCAGGCACTGATGTTATTTAGTCAGGTAACAAAACGTCTGCAGACAAACAACCAAGCTCAGAGAGCATCAGCTCCACTATAGAATTCTTCATTCCCAACACTGCTTTAGTTCTTTCAAAGGAGAGAGAGAGGGAGGGAGGGAGGGAGGGAGGGAGGGAGGGAGGGAAGGAAGGAAGGAAGGAAGGAAGGAAGGAAGGAAGGAAGGAAGGAAGGAAGGAAGATTGCATTTTTATTCGTTCTACTTGTCTTTTTACTCCTTCTTTTGTCACTTATTTATTTATTTTTAATTTATTTATTGAATTTATTCTAGCCTTCCCCACTGAAATAATAAGAAAAAAATCATCCTACTCTATTTTTTAAAAAAAAATTATCTCAACAAGTATGTACCACTTACACATTCAAAATACATGGACAGAACAGGACTGTAGACCATGGAGTTAGTAATGGTGTTAGTAATGGTGGCAGTTGTAGTAATAGGAATCGTACATTTTTAGGCTTTTCATTGCTTTTTTGGAAAATGGGAAAAATAGTTTTAGTTAAACACATAAAGTTTATTCTGGCCTTCCTGTTTTTCATTTTCTTTGTTCTCAATCCATTTTTCTTCCATGATCTGCAATATTTGCTGACCTTAGACAGGTTGGCAAAGAAAATGAATATAAACCTGCCCTAGGCTGTTTGTCCTCTCTTCCCCCTGGGTGGCTTTTCTATCTTTTTGCTAACATGTTGTATTGCCTTGTGCCATTGACTTCCTGATAGCCCAACTCCTGTTTTATCCCACAGTCCCGTTAGGTCTGAAACACACCATTTCATCTTCACGGCATGCAGCCTTCCTCCTGGTTGTCTATTAACCTACAGCTGTGCCAAAGTTCTGATATAGACACATTCTCTGGTACTTCCATCTCAGCAGGATCAGCATGCAGCACTGGCAGCTGGGTCATTGGGTCCATGTGTAATCTAGGAGTAAGAAACAGACGCATCATTCCTCTCCCCCCAATAAGAACTCAAGAAAAAGATCCATTATCCCACCATCTTTAGAAGAATATAAATCAAGAATGGGCAAGAGTTGTGCTTCTCCCACCCATTTTCAGGTCTAATCAGAATGCAAATATTTTAGCCCAACCTAGCCAAGGATTGAGGATGATCAGAATTGTACCTAATAAGATTGGGAATAATTGAATGATTCTAAATGTGAATAATTATGTGTTCCTTAAAATCAATAGCCAGGTCTGCTAGATCTAAGTGTCTATGTTATCAGTAAACTTGCATATCACCTCAGACTTTAGATACTGTGGTGAAATTGCTTCAGAAAGGATAGGATTATTTGCAATGAAGGGTCATTTTAACTCTAATTCTTTAACATCCCCTTTTCCAAGTACAGAGCACTGATTTCATAAGCTCATTCCAAGAAGTGGTGGAGAACAAGGAAGAGAAAGTGGAGAGGGTGACTCTTGGACATCTCCTGTAGTAACTAGTAGAAACCTAGTGTTTTGAAATACAATTTAACCATTATTCTAGTTTTTTTAATAACAAAAACTGATAAAAATATGCTGCAAAATAACACTGATTTCTCCTGAGCCATAAATCCCTAACTGGCCTTAATACTGATGTTCCTTTAGAACCCCAAGGCATTCCAAAACATTGGATATGAAACTAATATCCTAGAAGACAAAAATAACAACTTAATAGGTTAGGATGAGTTGACTGAAAATAGCAGAATTGACTTCCTGATAGCCTGTTTTATCCCACAGTCCCGTTAGTCAGTGCAAAGTTCATTGCTTAAGAAACACACAGGCATAAGATGAAGGAAAGGAAACACACAGGCATAAGATGAAGGATCCTGGCTTGGTAATAATACTTGATTAATACTACAACCTGAATGTGTTTCAACAGAGGGATGTACCAGTTAAAACAGCAAATATAATCTTAAACTTCGTCAACAAAAATGTCATTTTCAAATCAAGGGAAGTAATAATTCAACTTGTTTCAATATTCAATTCTGTGCAGGTACCATGCTTTTAAGAGTATGAGGCAAAAATAGGTTCAAAGAAGGACAACATGGATGATTAAGAGAAATTGTCTTCCTGTTAAAGAAAATTGAAAGAATTGGGAATGTGTGGTTTTGGGAGGTAAAGATTGAGAAGTTTTCTTTTTTCATTAATTTAGTAAATTTGTATTCCATCTTTCTTTTAGAAGCTAAGACAGCATACATAGCATCCCTTCTACCAAAGCTAACTCCGTGGAATAGGCACCGTGTATATGACTGACCCAAAGTCATCCAGGACGTTTCCATGGTTATGGGGAAACTATAATCTATGCCTCCTTAGTACCAGTTCAACACTTTAACCATTACCCCAGCCTGGCTCTTACTTTTCAGATATATCATCTAAAACAGTGGTCCCCAATCTTTTGGTACTAGGGACTGGTTTTTGTGGAAAACAATTTTCCACAGAATGGGGAGCTATGTGAAATAGAATAAAATAGAATAACAGAGCTGGAAGGGATCTTGGAGCTCTTCAAGTCCAATCCCCTGCTTAGGCAGGAAACCCTACAACACTTCAGACAAATGGTTATCCAACATCTTAAAATCTTCCAGTGTTGGAGCATTCACAACTTCTGGAGGCAAGTTGTTCTATTGATTAATTGTTCTAACTGTCAGGAAATTTCTCCTTAGAGAGAAGTTGCTTCTGTCCTTGATTAGTTTCCACTCATTGCTTCTTGTTCTACCCTCAGCTGCTTTGAAGAATAGCTTGACTCTCTCTTCTTTGTGGCAACCCTTGAGATATTGGAACACTGCTATCATGTCTCCCCTAGTCCTTCTCTTCATTAAACTAGACATACCCAGTTCCTGCAACTGTTCCTCATATGTTTTATCCTCCAGTCCCCTAATCATCTTTGTTGCTCTTCTCTGCACTCTTTCTAGAGTCTCAACATCTTTTTTACATTGTGGTGACCAAAACTGAATGCAATATTCCAGGTGTGGCCTTACCAAGGCATTATATAGTGGTACTAACATTTCACATGATCTTGATTCTATCCCTCTGTTTATGCAGCCCAGAACTGTGTTGGCTTTTT